ACTGGAAGAGCCTCACGTTGGTAGATGGGGGATCCACGTGGGAGAGTCAGCTGGAGTTCCTGTGTGTGGGAAGCTGCCGGGTGGCCAGCGTGAGARTGGTTTTGGTGATTTCTGCTGGGGTGGGGGGCACAGCTGAAAGTTCTGTGTGGATGTTGATGGTGTCTGCTCRGGTACCTAATTGTGTGGACAAGTAATTGGGAGATCTACTCTGATGCTGTGACCTGGAGCCCTGGACAGGCACAGTGGTTGTGATTCCCATGCAGGAGCAGGAATATCGCTCAGAGAAGCAGTATTCTCACTACTCGAGTCCCAGGTCATGGAGCGACACAGAATATTGACTCCCCCTGGCCTGCCATCATCTCCCTTGACAATATTAATTTTGCCTATCCAAGAGCATGGGAGATCTTTCCATCTTCTAAAGTTTCTTCAATTTCCTTCTTTAGTGTTCTTTAGTTTTCATTGTAGAGGTCTTTCACCTCCTTTGTTGATTCCCAAGCATTTTATTTTTTTTGAGGCTATTATGAATGGGGTAGTTTTCCTAATTTCTCTTTCAAAGGATTCATTACTGATGTATAGAAATGCATTTGGTTTATGGGTACTGATTTTGTATCCTGCTACTTTGCTGAATTCATTAATTAATCCTAGAAGTTTTCTGGTGGAGTTGCCTCTGCTGAAGATCCTCTAAATATAGAATCATGTCGACAGCAAATAATGATAGTTTTGAGCTCTTCTTATCCTATCGGTATCCCTTTAATTTCTTTTGTCTGTCTAATGGCTAGAGTTTCAGGGACTGTGTTGAGTAAAAGTGGTGAAAGAGGGCATTCTTGTCTTGTTCCCATTTTTAGAGGGAATGCTTTCAAATTTTCTCCATTTAAAATGAAGCTGGCCTTGGTTTAGCATATAGCTTTTACAATGTTGAGGTTATGTTGCTACTATCCCTAGTTTTTCTAGTGTTTTGAACATGAAAGGGTGCTGTATTTTGTCAAATGCTTTCTCTGCATCAATTGATATAATCATATGATTTTTATCTTTAAGTCTATTGATGTGTTGAATTATATTTACTGATTTCCATATGTTGAACCAACCTTGCATCCCTGGAATGAACCCTACTTGATCATGGTGCACTATTTTTTAAAGACATTTTTGTATGTGATTTGCCTGAATTTTATTGAGAATATTTGCATCAATGTTCATCAGGGATACTGGTATGAAATTTTCTTTCCTTGATGTGTCTGCCTGATTTTTATTATCAGAATGATACTAGCTTTGTAGAATGAGTTTGTACGGGTTTCTTCCTTTTCTATTTCATGGAGTAATTTGAGGAGTATTGGTATTAATTCTTCTTTGTAGGTTTTATAGAACTCAGCTGTGAATCTGTCTGGTCCTGGGCTTTTCTTGGTTGGTAGGTTTTTTTATGGTGTCTTCTATTTCCTTGCTTGAAATTGATCTGTTTAAATTGTATATGTCCTCTTGACTCAGTTTGGATTGATCATATGCCTCTAGAAATTTGTCAGCATCTTTGAGGTTTATTATTTTACTAGAGTATAAATTTTCAAAATAGTTTCTAATTGTTTTCTGTATTTCAATAGTGTCTTTTGTGATAATTTGTAATTTATTAGAAYGGCTAAGGGTTTGTCAATTGTATTTATTTTTTCAAAGAACCAGCTTTTTGTTTTGTCAATTTTTTGAACTATTTCTTTATTTTCAACTTCATTGATTTTTGCTCAGATTTTAATTATTTCATGTCTTCTACTTTTGGAGTTGGTTTGTACTTTTTCTAGGGTTTTGAGGTGTAATGTCAGGTTGTTTGATGACTTTTTCTTCTTTTAACGAATGAACTCCATGCAATAAACTTTCCTCTTAGAACTGCTTTCATAGTGTCCCAGAGATTTTGATAGGTTGTACTGGAGTTCTCATTTGCCTCTAAGAATCTTTTTTTAATCTCCTCCCTGATGTCTTCTGCTATCCATGTGTCATTCAATAGTGTATTGTATAGTCTCCAGGTGTTGGGAGTAGCTTCTCTTTTCTATTATTGATTTCTAATTTCATTCAATTATGGTCTGGTAGAATGCAGGGTACTTTCTCTTTCTCTCTCTCTCTCTCTCTCTCTCTCTCTCTTGTATTTGCTATGACTTGCTTTGTGGTATAACATATGGTCTATTTTGGAGAAGGATCCATGTGTTGCTGAGAAGAAAGTGTACTTGTTAATTGATGGATGAAATAGTCTATGTGTGTGTTAAGTCCAAATTATTGATTTTATTATTGAGTTCTATAGTTTGTTTAGTTTTTGTTTGGAAGACCTAGCTAGTGGTGAGAACAGGTGTATTAAAGTCACCCAATATTACTGTGTTGTGGTCTGTCTGGTATTTGAGAAGGGTTTGTTTAGTCATTTATGATTGTTATGTCTTATTGATGTATGAATTCCTTAAGCAGTATTAAATATCCTTTTTTATCCCTATTCATTAGCTTTGAAGTCCACTTTATCTGATATGAGGATGGAAACCCTGCTTGTTTACGTGGTCCATTTTCCCACCCTTTCACTTTCAGTCTGTGGATGCCTTTTCCTGTGAGATGAATCTCTTGAAGGCAACATATAGTTGGGTCTTTTTTAATCCAATCTGTCAGTCTGTRTCTTTTAATTGATGAGTTTAGGCTATTCACATTCAGGGTAATTATTGAAATATGATTTGTATTCCAGGACATTTTAGTTTATTTTTTGTTTTTAACTTAACTTGGTTTCTCCTTTGATTGGCCTTTCGTTTAGTGTAGTTTTTCCCTTTGCTGATTTTTATTGTTGTTTTTCATTTCCTCCTCCTGGAATATTTTTCTGAGGATAGTCTGTAGTGCGAGCTTTCTCACTATAAATTTCTTTTCGTTTATCAAGAAAGTTTTTTTTAATCTTTTATGTGTCTTTATTTTATTCATTAATAAAATAAAGACACATAATAAAATAAAGATCGAACCCAGTGCCTCACACATATGAGGCAAGTGCTCCACCACTGAGCCACAACCCCAGCCCCATGGAAGGTTTTATTTCATCATCAAATCTGAAGCTTAATTTTGCTGGATATAAGATTCTTGGTTGGCATCCATTTTCTTTCAGAGCTTGGTATATGTTGAGGTTTGGGTTGAAAAATCTGCTGAGATACAAATTGGCCTCCTCCATACGTGATCTGATTACTCTCTCTTGCGGCCTTTACAATTCTATCCTTTTTCTSTATGCTAAGCATTTTCATTATAATGTGCCTTGGTGTACAACTGTTGTCGTTTTGTATATTTGGTGTCCTGTAAGCCTCTTGTATTTGTATTCTTCATGTTTGGTAAATTTTCTGAAATTATCTCATTGAAGAGATTGTGCATTCCTTTAGTTTGAATCTCTGTGCCTTCCTGTATCTCAATAACTCTTAGATTTGGTCTTTTGATGCTATCCCATAATTCTTGGATGTTCTTTTCATGATTTCTTACCATCTTCACTGTGTGGTCAACTTTTTTCCAGATTGTATACTTTGTCTTCATTATCTGATGTTTTGACTTCCAAGTGATCTAGTCTGTTGGTGATGCTTTCTATTGAGTTTTTTATTTGGTTTATTGTTTCTTTCATTTCAAGTATTTGTGATTTTTTTCAGAATCTTTCTTTCTTTTTTTTTAAATTGTTTTTTAGTTGTAGATGGTCACAATACCTTTATTTATTTTTATGTGGTCCTAAGGATCGAACCCAGTGCCTCACCTGTGCAAGGCAAGCGCTCTACCACTGAGCCCCAGCCCTAGCCCCTTTGACTCACTCTTGAAGTAATCTTTTGCTACCTGTATTTGGTCCCTTATCTCTGTGTTGGTGTGATCAATTTTTGCCTGTATTTGTTCATTTAGGTCATTCTTTTAAATTTTTTTTTTAAAAATGGACACAAATATCTTTATTTATTTTATTTATTTTTATGTGGTGCTGAGGATCGAACCCAGGGCCTCACATGTGCAAGGCAAGTGCTCTGCCACTAAGCCATAACCCCAGCCCCCATTTAGGTCATTCTTTAATTCACAGATCATTCTGACCTCCTTTTCTGTCATTTCATCAACTGCACTGTCCATGGATTCTTTTATTATAATATCCTGGTTTGACTGGGGCACGTTTTTCCATTGTTTTTTCATGTTGTCTATGAGTCTTCCTTTCTTGCAGTGTGGATCTGAGGTATTAACAGTTTCTACTCTATAATCTTATAGTATCTGTGCAGATTATCTGTACCTCACCTTGTTATAGGGCTTCTAGTCCCTGCAGGTGACCCACGATGGATGCTACTGCAACTATAGGTAGTGGTGGCAATAGCAGGGTGGGTATCCCAAGATGGATGCAACCTMTTTCAGAAATGGAGCTGAAAGGGTAGGCCTTACAATGGCCTGGGCTGCCTGTTCTGAGATGCAGCTGCTTCTAGACCCTATCTGTTGTCATAAGGAGAAGGCTACTATGTGGGGAGGGCTATGACAATGGCTGCAGTGTCCCATGATGGAAGTGGGTTAGTCCTGGGCTCCCATGGACTCCTGGGCAGGTCAGCAGAGCTGGCCCCATGTGGGGGCCTGAGTTCTGGCATGGGTCTGCCAGTCAGTGGGGTGGACTGGACCTAGCCTGGGCCTGGGCTCCTACATAGGTCCACTTGGGAGGATTTTTGAGTTTGGCAAGTTACACTTGGTTACTGTGCAGAAATGTCAAACAGACAACATGTTTTAAGCAGGGTGGACACAAATTTTACAGAGAATTGCTAATGAGAACTTCACCTCCTTAATGTTCATGATTAATGGCCATAATTCTATATTTCACCAAAAACAACTTTCCTACACAGTTCCTTCACTGAATAATGATGATTACTTTGGAGACTAAAAAAAGGAGATTGTTTTTAGGAGAAAATTYTCACTTCCTGGACCAACAAAACTGGAAAATTAGTAAGGATCCTTCGTTGTTTAAGTCTCGATCTTAGGATATGAAGACAATGCAAGATACAGTTGGTACTTACATCAACAATCATGCGAACAGTGGGCAATGTTGCAGTAAGGTTCTGAGCATGAGGGGGTCGGACAGTCACAGGTATACACCCTGCATACAGACACCCATAGAATGCAGCAATTAACTCGATGCCTGCAAGACAGAGGATCCTGTCAGGAGAGCCATTTAATCAACTACTATCACTAAGAAACTAAATGTGGATATTCCAAAATCATGTGCCAGCTGGGTTATTCAGATTAGAACTTAATAATATAAATTTCTTCTGTCAGTGCCTTAAGAACAAACTGAAGGCAAAGCAGCATATAGAACAACTTAAAAGAGAAGCCAAGAACAGATAACAAGGAAGATATCAGAAGTAAACCCTTGAAAGATACTTGAAGCATGTTCATATTGTTACTTGACATTACTTATTACAGAAATTGAAGAGTTTTAACTAAGAAGATAAAATAGGAAATGAAGAAATGAGGAACATTTAAATTTTATAAAAATATTAGAAGGCTGATATAGGAAGAGTAATTGGACTTCTTAATTGTTGTTTACTCAATTTGTGTATTTTAGGGATGCAAAATGTGGCTCAATTTGAAGACTCTGGGCGAGAGGTCTCCTTAGGATGTGCTCTAGTCTGTTGCTGAATCATTAATTGATAGTTGGAAGACAACTATACGGGAATATGGCAGGAGAGATTCCTATACCAGATGATCTAAGAAATCTCAGTATCCATGAAAATAAAATGCCATAGTAAAGTATAATAGAGTGAAGGGAAATAAGGGAGATAAGTGACCAAAGAAGGCTGGATATTTGAGTGGATTATGTGGCTGACGGAGTAGGAATAAAGAGATTACTCAAATATTTCATCTAATATTTGGTGACAGCAAACTGTTATCAAATAATCCTGTTATCAAATAATCCTAACCCTCTTTCTATGAAGGGAAGGTTATGACTAAATTAAATTAGAACATCAAAGATAAAAGCAACAACAGAGGAAACAAAACATCAATCATAATAAAAAGAATGTTAAGTCAACAGAATTCAAAGACAACAAATCATTTGGAAGCCAGGCAAAATGGTCCCATTCCATCCTAGAAACAAGGCAATCATTTTTTGTTTGTTTGCTTTGTTTTAGGGTGCTAGGGGTTGAACCTTGAGCCTTATGCTCTACCACTGAGCCATACTGGCTATCCCCACCCTTTTTTAAAGGGACGGGGTCTCATTACATTGTCCAGATTGGCCTTGAACCCCTGGGATCATTAAATCCTCCTGCTTCAGCCTCCCCAGTACACTCCCATGAGTATATACCACTGCTCAACCTCAAATCATCTGTTTCAAAAGTTTTCAAAAGCCAGGTAGTTGAAATCTTCATTCACTCATTCATTTGTTTAATAATTATTAGATGACTTTTATGTGCCAGGCACTGATAATGGAAATAGAAGAGTAAGTCAAAAAGACAGAATCTCAAGAAGAGCTATCACACTGCACAACTCTGGGGTATGTCACCTGGCTCACACCTTAGTTTATGGTACATGGTTGCTTGGTGTTGGGAAATACACAGTACCACGGTCATAGATGGTAGCCCAGAGTTCCTGACCTCTCCTACTATGTAGTCTAGTCTTGGAGTTTAGTAGTCTACCAATCCAACACTTACCAGGTGGGTAGAGTAACACAACGTTATCTCCTGCATTTAGATGTCCTTTGTCACCAAGAACTGATGCAATCCTCTCTGCTCGTTTATGAAGCTGAAGGCAGCTGGCTGTGCATACAGTAGTTCCCTTTAAACATTATTAGAAAGGATAAGCAGATCAAAGTTCATCAAGAAAATAAACCACCAAGGGAAAAGCACAACCAATCTGACACTACACAACCAAAAGGGTTGTGCTTTGGTAGATTATCTTTTGCAAACTATTACTTAGTATCAAAAGGCAGGTATAAGATTCCTTTTCTTTTTTAAAAAAGTGTTGTAGATATTTAGGGCATATTAAAATTAACCTAAACACTTATTTATAGTATTTTTCCTTAAAGTAGTTTTAAAAATACATATGATCTTTTATTTTTTTTAAGTGAGGAAATAAGAGTAAAAGTAAATTAATAAAAATCAAAATAGGATGAGAGCAGGTGTGAGGTAAAGACAGTAAGTGCTGGTTGAGTGGTCACGCACATCTGCTGTGTGTACAACAGAAACCTGGCTCTGAGTTTGCTAATAGTGAAGATGCAAACAAACAAAAATAGTATGCAGAATCTACCAGTTAATAATAAAGATGAGGAGACCCTTTCCTTCTTGTTTTGTTTTAATATTTATTTTTTTAGTTGTAGTTGGACACAATATCTTTATTTATTTATTTTTTATGTGGTGCTGAGGATCAAACCCAGGGCTTCACATTCGCTAGGCAAGCGCTCTACCACCAAGCCACAACTGCAGGCCCCTTTTCCTGATCTTGACAATAATTTTTCCTGTGAGTCTTCATAAGTTTGACTGAGGAGGGTTTTTTGAACCCTTCCTTGTGAAACATGATACATATAAGGGAAAACGGAAAATATGCACATAACTTAATGAAAAATTAGTAAGTAAGCATTAGTGTAGACACCAGAAGGATAAGAAGAAAACCCTCCTAGCTGCTCAGAAGCACCCATGATAACCACTATCTTGATGTTTTTGTTGGTCACTGATTTCTTGCTCTTTATATTGTTAACATTCATGAATAATTTTCAATTGTAAATGAATGGAATTGTGCTGTATAAATTCCTTTGTGCTTCACTTCTTTCTTTCTTTAGGTGGTGGGTGCGTGCTAGAGATAAAACCTGGGGGTGCTTTACCAATGAGCTACATACCGGGCCCTTTTTATTTTATTATTTATTTATTGGTAGTACTGAGGATCAAACCCAGAACCTTGACATGTTAGGTTAAGTACTCTACCAGGAGCTACATCCCCAGCACTTAATTTTTTTAGTTTTCAGTGGACCTTTATTTTATTTATATGCAGTGCTGACAATTGAACCCAGTGCCTTGTACATGCTGGGCAAATATACTCCCACTGAGCTATGACCCCAGTGGACCCCGCCCTTTTTTTTTTTTAATTTTGAGCCTTGCTAAATTGCTGAGGCTGGCCTCAAATTGTGATTCTCCCATCTCAGCCTACCAAGTCATTAGGATTACAGAAGCACGTAATTCAACATTATTTATGAGTCATCATGCTGTTTTGTGTACGTACAGTTATTCCTTTATGTTGCTATATAATATTTCATTGTATGAAAGTACAACAAGTTATTCATCCACTTTCTGGCTGATGGACATTATCATTCTTGGACATGTATTCTTATGCTWAAATACATGTTTCAATGGAGCACAGACCTAAAAATGTAACTGCTGCATCTCTAGATTGCCAGTCTTCAACTTTACTGGATAATGCCAAATCATACTCCAGATGATTGTACTATTACCTGGTCTTTTAAAAATAAATATATATTATATGTAAATTTACACGCAACATGGTATCATGTCATCTGCCAGAGGCTGCACAACATTTTGGTTAAGAATGTGTGCTCCACAAGTTAGGGTTCAAATAAATGTAAAGAACTAATTTCTGCTTGGTTAGTACATGCTGTATGCATGTACTGAAATAACAAACTGTACCCCATTAATATGTACAATTTATACTTGTTAATCAAAAACTGAATGTTAAAAAAAAGAGCTAATTTCCTACTCCTATCACTTACTTAGCTCTATAATCTCTGTGCTTTGGTTTCCTCATATCTAGAATAGGATCTTCAGTACTTATTCAATTATTACATTTTATAACATATTTTTCCTTATACATAATAAATATTTTCTGAGTCATCAAATATTCCTCTGTAACACTGTTTTTAATGGCTATATACCATAATTTATTTAGTTGATTGTTTATTTTCAGCATTAAGGTTATAACACTAAAATTAATATTCCTTTGGCTAAAGTCAGGGTTAAATTTATAAGGCTATTTCTTTTTGAGCTGGGCAGAGTGGCCTATAATCCCAGCTACTCAGGAGGCTGAGGCAGGAGGATCACAAGATCCAGTCCAGCCTCAGTAACTCAGTAAGACCCTGTCTCAAAAAAAAAAAAAAAAAAAAAAATATATATATATATATATGAAGGACTAGGGATATAGTTCAGTGGTAGGATGCCCATGGTTCAATCCTTAGCACCACAGTGGGGAGAAAAATCATTTTGGTTCATGGCACAAGAGCAAATTTTAGTTTAGTAAACACAATATTCTATGCACGAGGGAACAATGTATGGTTAATAATCTGGTGGCCTAGGCTTATCCAAGGCAAAAATACAAGAATATATAGAATTAAATGAATTATATGCACTTTGGGCAGTCAATCATTTATATTAAAACAAGAAGCAAATTTAAATTTATGCTCACAAACAAATATCTGGGGTATGGATTTCACAACATCTACAACTTAAACTATATCCAAGCCTGGGAGTGAGGTGGGAAGTGACCAGAATGATGGCTTTAAAAAATATATTTTTTTTTATTTTAGTTGTAGATGGACACAATATCTTTATTTTTATTTATTTATTCTTATGTGGTGCTGAGGATGGAACCCAGGGCCTCACACATGCAAGGCAAGCACTCTACCACTGAGCTATACCCCCAGCCCCAAAATGATGGCTTCTTAATAAAGTATAAGAACCTTAGTGAATTAATCCACAGCCTTGAAGAGAAGCCCACTGCCTGAATATTTGGAGCAAGGAAGTATCAGAGTTTTGTCTCACAAAAGCAGTTGTTCTTAAAATTTTTTAATAATTTTCACTTTGATGCACAGCATACTTCTCTCATTAAGATTCATCACTACACACATTCTTAAAACAAACAAACAAATGAATCCCCCCCCCAAAAAAAAATTAGATTATATGAAGACAGGGCAGATAAGGGCAATTCAGTTAAGTTCCCTAAGAGATCCAATAGGCTTTTCCAATTTGCCTCTGCTGGTGAGAACTGCTATAATTTGGTCACAATACTTTCAATCTGTGACTCAATCATTAATAAGTTAAAGAAAATATATCAGACTACCACAGAATGGAAAACCAAAAAAAAAAAAAATACAATATTAGCCAGGCGCATGCTTGTAATCCCTGTGGCTTGTGGGGCTGAGACAGGAGGACTGCAAGTTCAAAGCAAGACCCAGCAAAAGCAAGGTGCTAAACAACTCTGTTTCTAAATACAAAACAGGGCTGTGGGATGTGGCTCAGTGGCTGAGTGCCCCCTGAGTTCAATCACCTGTACCCCCCCCAAAAAATAAAAACCCATAATAAAACCCACACCTATATTATGGAGTTGAACAAAGTGTTGCATGTCTATAATTCAAGTGTCTTGGGAGGCTGAGGCAAGAGGATCACAAGTTCAAGGTCAACCTCAGCAACTTAACAAGGCCCTATTTCAAAATACAAAATAAAAAGGGCTGGAGATGTAGTTCAGTTGTAGAGCACCTCTGGGTTTAATCCCTAGTAATGCAGATACAAACCCATGAGGGTTGGGGTTGTAGCTCAGTGGGAGAGCGCTTGCCTAGCATGTGTGAGGCATTGTGTTTGATTCCCAGCACCAAATAAAAATAAATAAATAAAGGTACTATGCTCATCTACATATAAAAGAGAAGGAAAAAAAGATGTTTTTTTAAAAAAACAAATCCACAACATTATGATAAACCATCTATTAGAACCAGTAGTGAAATATACTCTCTCTTCTTTTTTTTTTTTTTTTGTTTCCCCTTCTTTGCAACAGGGTCTTCCTATATTCCCCAGGCTGGCCTGGAACTCATGATTCTCCTGCCTTGGTGTTCTAAACAGCTAAGACTATAGGTACAGGCTACCAAACCTAGCCAATGTACTCCTATATAATTTTCAATTCATTTTTTATCTGTCAGTAATAAATCCTTTAAGTAAGTACTAAAAATAGGTTTTGTTTTAAAATATGGGGGTAAAATAATTTTCTTCTTGGAAGACATCAAATAATTAAAAGTCAAATTGGATTAAAAAATATGACATAATATATTCTATACATCTGTGTATTTATACAATTGTACTGTTGGCCCCATCATTCTTAATAAAGTAGACTTGATTATTTTTTTAAAATRTTTTTTTAGTTGTAGGTGGACCTTTATTTTATTTATTATTTTTATGTGATGCTGAGGATAGAACCCAGTGCCCAAATGCTCTACCATTGAGCTACAGCCCCAGAACCAAAGAAGACTTGATTATAACACAAGAAAAGACAGTATTAAATAGCACTCTGGGAGGTCTCATTTCAATCTTAAGAGTGATTATATAATTTATCCTCATGTGTCAAAACAAGGAAAAAGCAATAACTCCTTCCTTAGAAATTTTCTGATGAAAGAAAAGAGATTGAGAGTGCCTAAGGTACTCCCGTAGGATTTARTTAATTAGATATGCAATTCAATTTTTAATACCTTGGCATTTAGCAGCATGAAGAGTATATGATCAGGAGTTGCCTGGGCTCGCCACTGCAAAATCTCTGCCAGAAACTGGTGCTGAAATCATAAAGCAGAAAAAAGACTGATGGTCAGCAACTTTCAAGCAATGTATCCCCTATTTGCTATCTAAAATATAAGTTCTGTCCTTGACTCATTGGTAAAATTTCAGCATTTCTGGAACACTTACCTTCCTCACTAAATCATTCTCTTCAATTTGCCCCAGATCCCTTCCTGCAGCTTGTGCTATGCGTTTTCCAGCAACCAGATTCCCAACCATCACAGAAGCAGGGCCTACACCTGTAAATAGAGGCAAAAATCAACGATCTGAAAATAGCAATTCAATCTAACTATCCGCAAAGCATTTCCTCACTGACCCAAACTGGTTCAACCATTCATTCAATAATAGAATGACTAGAGCACTCTTCTAGGCACTGGGAAGGCAGTAATCAAACAGGATAGAGCTTATATTCTAAGAGGAAAGGCAATCAAGAAGTATATATACATATAAACAAAGTCAGGTAGCAGGAACTGCTAGAAAAAGACAAAACAGGACCACAGGAGAGTCATGGTTAGGGGAGCAATGGAAGTAAGGAGGCTACTGAAGCTAGGGTATACAGGGAAGTTTTCAGCCCGAGGAACTGCCTTTGCACTGGTTTCCACTGATAAATAATTTCTTTTGCTCTAGTCAAAATGTATTAATTGTAATAAATACCTAGTCTTTAAAAAATTTGCTATATGAGGAATGGGAGTAAGCTTATTGGGAATATCAGAAGTGCTTTCTTCAAGAAGTTAATAAAATCCAGATTATGTGGAACATTCCACAAGACAACTGGCTTAACTCTTCAAAAACATCTATGTCAAAAGACAAAATAAGGCTGGGAGCTTACAATTAAAGACAGCCAATGCGAGGCATAACCTTAATGAGATACTGAATTTAAAAATTAGTATAATAAACAAGTGGAGAAATTTGAGTGTTATTAGATTATAACATATTAAGGTTAAATTTCTTAATAGAATAATGACATCATGGTTGATTATAAAAATTTTAGAAGAACTGGTCTTTGGAAATAGATGTGCTGAAATACTTTTGGGTGAAGTGTCAAACTGTCTATAATCTACTTTCAGAGTTCAGTTTAAAATAAAAGTCAATTGGTAAATCTAGGGGAAGGTACCCAGGTGTACTATTGTGTCACCATTTCCATGGACTTGACACTTCAAAATAAATAGGGACATCCATTGGGCACAATGGACATACACCTATAATCCCAGCAATTTAGTGAAACCTTGTCTCAAAATAAAAAATAAGGGGCTGTAGCTCAGTGGTAGTGCCTTTGCCTGAGGCATAGGGTTCGATTCTCAGCACCACGTATAAATAAAAAAATAAAGATCTATCAACAACTAAAAATAAAAAAATAAATTAAAAAAATAAAAATAAGGGCTGTGGATATGGCTCAGAGGTAAAGTGCTTCTGGGTTCAATCTCCAATACAATCAATCAAGCAAGCAATCAATCCATACATMCCTCCAACTCTTAAGAAAAAAAATGTTAGAGCTGGGTGTGGTGGTGTACACTATGATCCAAGCTACTCAGGGGTCTGAGGCAGGAAGATCACAAGTTCAAAGCCAGACTCAGCAATGTAGCAAAACCCTATCTCAAAATAAAAAAATAAAAAGGACTGGGGATGTAGTTCAGTGGTAAAGTGCCACTGGGTTCAATCCCCAGCATCAGAAGAAGAAGAAGAAGAAGAAGAAGAGAATAAGAATAAGAATAAGAATAAGAATAAGAATAAGAATAAGAATAAGAATAAGAATAAGAATAAGAATAAGAATAAGAAAGAAGTGCTAGGGTTACTTGAAGACCAAGACTCTACCTTAATAAGCTAAGAAGATGGCAGAAAGGTAACATATCAAACTTAATACCAGCTAAGTATTATCCAAATCTGATGATCCTAAAGTTATTAAAACAGTTGAAACAAAATGACTTAGGTCATATAATCACCTTTAAAAGGGGTAAACAGTTGGGGAAGCTGGATAAAGGATATAAGGGAATTTTTTGTACCATTAAGCAACTTTTTTTTTAAAGTGTGAAATTATTTCAAAATGAAAGTTTAGAAAGATTAAAAGTCAAATAAAAAAAGTTGAAAAAAGGTAAAGTATTCCAACAGTGCTAAACTGTTTTAGTTTATAAATTGTTTAATATAATTTTAAGTACTACCTGCAATAATCCTATCTATGAAACTATATAATAAATTAGAGCTAAATCACTTTGGAGAGAATCTTTACGAATGTAGGAATTCAAAGTACATTTGTGTGAACTGTACAATCCTGAATTCACATTGTAAAATTAATAAAGGCATCGCATTTTAAAAAGTCAATTTTAAGCGACAAAAACAATTTAGCAGCAATATTTTGAAATTCTTCTGAGCATATTTCTTGATTCTATGGGYTCCAGAGTGAAAAATACTGAAAGCAATAACTTCAAGAAGCTAACTATAGATACTTTTGCTCCTATAAACATATCTTCTTGTTTCTTTCCAAAACTTGGTAAGCTTATGGTAAAAACTGTTATCTGTCAACCGCAACGCCTGCTTTTCACTTCTTTATTAATAACACAATCCCCAATTTCTAGCTGGACATGTGCCACATGCCTAAAGACTACATTCTTTATAGTGTGAAAGGCTTAACATGTAAGAGGAAGTAGTAGGTGCAATTTCTAGAAAACATGTTTAAAGGGAAAATATTCTCTTCTTTTTCCTTTTTTTTTTTTGGGGGGGGGTGCTGGATATTAAACCCAGAGCCTCATGTCATGCATGCAAGGCAAGTCCTCTGACACTAAACTACAATCCCTGCCCACTATTTATTTCTTTACCCTTTTCTGCTACTTGCTAGCCAGAATACAAAATGATGTAGAAATCAGAAATGATGGCTAGAGGTCCGGGATCCTAACAGACTCTGAGACAGTCTCATACTCCTTCTTTTCCTTCCTTTTTCTCATACTCCTTCTTTTCCTTCCTTTTTCTCATACTCCTTCTTTTCCTTCCTTTTTCTCATACTCCTTCTTTTCCTTCCTGTCCTAGCTGTGATCACATGGAAGGATTCTACTTTTCTGCTACACTGATTTTAGGTATGGTCTAACTTGTTCTGGATGATGAAATGTTAGGAGACCCTGAAAGAAACAGAAGCTTTAAATATCTTATGTGCTTTGGCTGGTTCTTCTTCTGCCATCTGCCTTGAGAAAAATACAACCTAAGTAGAGGCTAGTCCCATCATGAGGAAACACATGGCTATTTCTGAACCTAACTTGCAGCCTTGGCCAAGTCAAGTCGAGATGATTTGTATTCAATCAATGAAAAACAAATACTTATTATTTCAAGGAACCAAGTTTTAGAGTTGTTATATAGCACATCTATAAAAACAGTTGGCTAACATAACACCAAAGCAAAAAGATGAGATGCTGGAAGAACGTGATTGCAAAGTGATCATTCTAGCCTTGGCCTGTCTATCTCTGAATTTCTTTTACCTAAGAAAGAAATAAACTTGATTCCTTTTTTTTTTAAGTTGTAGATGGACACAATACACACACACACACACACACACACACACACAGCAGACTATTAATTACTGCAGAGTATATTAACATCTTTTTTATTAACATTTTTTTTTCTAATTAGTTATACATGAGAGCAAAATGCATTTCATTTCCTTGTACACATATATATATTTGGTGCTAAGGATCAAACCCAGTGCCTCATATATGCTGGGCGAGTGTTCTACCACTGAGCCACAACCCAAGCCCCTTGATTCTTGTTTAAGCTGTTTATCTGCAAAGTGCAGCGACAGAACCAGAAAAAAATTCCCCCCACCAAAAATTTTTATTCATTTGACACATTCTTCTTCTTTAAACTAAGCACCAATAGGTATCTCAATGGGATTGTTGCTTCTGGCCTTTAACAACTTTTCTATCTTCCTTTTCTTCTCCTTTCCTTTCTTATCTCACTTCTTAATCATGTCCATTTTTCTCTATTTTTTTTTCAAATCCTAAATTCTCATGCTATTCCCTCATCATCTCCACTAGTTGATATCATGATTTTCAGACTGCTTTGGTTCTATACATATGTATCCAACTAAGATCWTAGCAGACAATCACAATAGAAAGCAAAAATATTAAATCAAACATAATGCTTTCACCAGACAGGATGAAATGTTGCTATGCCTTTGGAAGTTTAGGAATAAATATTTTATATAGGTTTTTATTATTTGATAAAATAAGATGAAATTTGACTAGCAAAAGCACTGCTTAAGCTTCTACTGTATTTTTAAGCAATATCTTTTAAGTATCTCCAACACACATGTTTTGTTAAAAGAATCCTACATTAAATGCTATTTAAAATAAGATTTTACACCTGGCACCTATAATTCTAGCAACTCAGAAGGCTGAGACAGGAAGATCATAAGTTCAAGGTCAACCTCAGCAACCTAGTGAGACCCTGTCTTAAAAATTAAAAAAAAAAAAAGATGTGAGGATATAGTTCAGTGATAAAGACTTCTGGGTTCAATCACCAGAATTTTTAAAAAAGAAGATTTTACTCATATGACAAGTAAATATGAAACTGTAGTTTAACAGACTTTGGAGATGGAGAAATGATTTGTGTGTGTTTTCAGTGCTGGGGATTAAACCCTGGGCCTCACATCTACTAAGCACATGCTCTACTACTGAGCTCGGCTCCCAGTCCCATGTGTGTTTTTATGTATCTGCCATATACCTAGGCAGTTAATGTATTTGCAAATACTTCTTTATACATTGCTTTCTTTCTTTTTTTTTAATTTTTAGCTGTAGATAGACACAATACCCTTATTTTATTTTTATGTCGTGCTGAGGATCAAACTCAGTGCCTCACACGTGCTAGGTAAGTGCYCTACCCCTTGAGCCACAAGCCAGCCCCTATACATTTCTTGATTACTAACACACAAACTTCTTGCTTTTGAATGCCCCTTCAGAATACTAGCAGAAACTAATAAAAATCATATATTCTTTAACTCTATACATATTGTCAACAGCATAAGGGTAGGTGACAATAACATCTGGATAAACCTAAGATCTTCATCAGGCAGACCATTAATTACTGCAGAGCAGGGTATATTAACATCTTTTTTTATATTAACACTTTTTTCTAATTAGTTATACATGACAGCAGAATGCATTTCATTTCATTGTACACAAATGGAGCATAACTTTTTATTTCTCTAGTTGTACATGATGTATCRTCACACCATTTGTGCAATCATACATGTCACCTAGGGTAATGATGTCTGTCTCATTCCACCATCTAATATCCTGATGATGGCAATATTCTAGAGTCACAGGCTTACTTTATACATTATGGTACATCATGTTTCTCTTTCAGCAAAAGCTGTCTCACAGAAATATAATTAAATGTCACACCTTCTCTTCTCTTTTTAATTCTCCCACAGTCATCTTTTCTCATTTGGAGGCTGATGCATAATGTTGTGTGTATACATACACATGTGAATAACTGGCAGAGGCCAGACTTTGGCTTTCATGTGTTTCAAGCATACACATGAAACTAAGAGCCTTAAAATGAAAAAAGTATCAATAAAACGTAATGATTTCATGTTGGATTTATCTTTTTTTTTTTTTTAAACACTGGGAGCATGCGTGAGGCAATGGGTTTGATCCTCACCACCATATAAAAATTAACAAATAAAATAAAGGCAATCTGCCCATCCACAACTTAAAAAAAAAAAAAAAAAAGATTCTACTCCTCAGATGTATTACAGGCCCAACTCAGACCCTAACGGCTGAAAAGAAATGAGGCATGAATCTAGGTAAAAGACTTTCAACAGAAAGGTAGTATGCCATGTTTCAAATAAATTTTAGTTGCATGAAGTGTGAATTTCAGTTCTGCCACTAACTAGCTATGTGAATTTTATTATCCACAGCTGATGGTAAAGTTTTAGGATCATATATGTAAAATGCTTAGTATCTGACATTTAGGAAGCACTCACTAAATATCAGCTGTTCTTATTATCAGAATCTTCCCTTATAGAATTGCCTTTATTCTAGTTCTAGCAGAGGGATTCTGATCATCTTGACTCATACTTTATACCCAGGGGAACTCAGAAGAGGGAATAGGAGTAAACCCAAAGAAGCCTATTCTGTAGGGTCTCAAACTTCCTTGCTTTTGGTCAGCTGATGCAATTCATGAGTTACTGGTCTTTGTAATGTCTAACTCTAAACAAAGAATCATTCTGAGAGACTTATTGATTGTAAGGTAGCATATTACCTGGTTGCTTTTGCCGAGGTTTTGGCAAATTCGTCACACAGGTATGTGGGCACATGAGGATATTGCAAGGATGTAAAGATCCTTCCAGAAAAAGCTGTTTCGTCTGAGATATATGAATCCCTCCTAGTGGAGTTTTTGGCAATGTATTGGCAGGCACCAGAGCAAGACAATAAACTCCCACTTGATGAATGCTATCAATTGCCTAGAAAAATATGAAGAAAATATTCAGTGAGGTTATTTTTACTATAATAGACATACTCTTGACACGATCCATTGTTTTACTGTAGGGTTTTTATTTATCCATTCTAGGTCTAGAATGATAGATCATTAAGCTCTCATATAACTGAAGATCTAAAGATAATCATTAAGACCCATATATCTTTCAACTATAACAGAAATTAACAGAAGAGAGATTATATACAATCTAAATAGAGGTGGATACTCTTTTATCAGATTCAGTATGTTCCCTTTTAAATGATAATGTCAAAACCTTGAGAATTTGTTTTAGTTTTTAAAACCTCTGTCCTGTACAACATAGCTTAATTAAATAGGGACAAAGTTAGTTATTAGGAAAACAAGACACTCTCTAAACCGGCCCCCACTTAAGTGATCCACCATGATACCGAAACTACACTCTGCAGAACATTTAGGGTGAGGCCCATAGTGCAATGAGCACTGGAGACCACACACTACCCTCAGTGCACTCAACTCCCTGCCATGTCACTGGATGCTTACTGAAAGTCAACTGTACCGATTTCTACACTATTCATGACAGCTATTCTAGTTACTATGTTCACATAGTTTAATTAGATGTTATATCAATTGATCAGATATAAATGCAAAAAGAATGAAAGAGTTATTAGGCTTTTGTAAAGACATATTAAAAGTGAGCTCCTAAAAAACTACTGCTGATAGGTACAGGCAAGTTAATCCAAAAAGTACAAATTATCTATTCAAGTTACCTTTCCAATATACCTATGTTCTCATTCCAACTTAAGGAAATTAAACCAGAAACTAAAGATATGCATTTGGGTATAGTTTATGAAAGTAAGTTATCTGGAACCCAAACTGGTACACTCATACATACTATTCTACATCCAATGAACAGAAAATTTATGCTTTGTGTTAAAATGTAATACTTAAAGAATATCTAAAGTATTCTTTATGATTGTCTGCTTTAAAATCTTATAATAAGATTATTATTTTTACAGAGCTATTTATTTATGGTACTGGGGATTGAATCCAGGGGCACTTAACCACTGAGCCACATCCCCAGCCCTTTTTATATTATACTTTGCAACAGGGTCTTGCTAAGTTGCTTAGGGTCTCACTAAGTTCCTGAGGCTGACTCTGAACTTTTGATCCTCCTGCCTCAGCCTCTGTAGTTCTTGAAATTTCAGTGTGCCACCATGCCCAACTACTTATTTTATTTATTGAGATAGGATCTCACTATGTTACCCAGGCTGGTTTCAAACTCCTGGGCTTAGGTGATCAGATCTTCTTTCTTTATTCTCCTTAGTAGCTGGGACTACTGGTATGTATCATCAGGCTGAGCTTCAACTACCTTTTAAAACTGAAAAACCATTAATACCATTTCTAAAATAGCAGTTAAGAGGCTTCTATTGTATTAATAAAGACCTTACAAAAAAGTACATATAACCTTAGAAGGAAAATGGAGTGGGAGTTATAATAAAGGTCAGTTATAAAAGATGGACAAGAAAAAAAATGGACAAGGCCTTTTATTAAAAAACAACTTAAAAAGGGCAAAGGAACAGATTTGAAACTCATATTCCTCAGACTATCTTATAAGCCAAAACTGAGAAATAGAAAGTCTGGTAGTTCTTAAGTTGCCATCTTTTAGAATAAACAAAAAGTTAGCAAATGTATTGTAAGCAGTCTAATAAATCATCTACTGATCACCTTTCCTTAGCAGGTGATGAGTTAGACACCTCATATTTAGATTATACTCAAACATGGAATTAAGCCACCTTTGGCCTTTAACCTCTGTGGTATCCTTTACCATTCACTATGGACCCAAATGTCTAAACTGAGAAATCAGAAAGCCTGGGAAGATAATGGCCTCTCACTTCATATACAAATCAGATCTCAAATGACTTTTATAAGCATTTGGACTGGTAATTCCWAAATTTGCTTTCCAGGGAATAATTAAAATTATTTTGGGAAATTTCAGTTATATTCACTTTTATATAATAGAAAAAATTTATAATTCATAATATTCTACCATTATGCTCCAATGTTCATTCTGAATAAAACAAATAGGTTTGTGTTTGTTTGAAAACATGAACGGTAAGAAAATAATCTTCAGGTTTGCCCCTTAGCCATCTTCCAGAGCACAGCCCAGTCCTACATATTCTTTCCTATTTTATATTCAATAGATTTTCTTTAAAAAATTAGATTGAAAAGATTTTATATTTATTTCTAAAATCTTTTCTTTCATTTTATATTAAACAAGTGTATACCAGACCAGCTAATAATTCATAGATGTGTTTTGTTTTTGTGGTGCTGGGGTTTGAACCCAGGGCCTTGTGCATGCAATACAAGCCCTCTACCAACTGGGCTATATTCCCAGGCCCCCAGTTGATAATTCAGAATCACAGACCCTGAGTTTAGAAAGAAATCTTAAAAGTCACCAAGCCCTATCACTTTATCTCATGCTTGCATAATTTCTAGAATATTACTATTAACTGGCAGTTAATAAATCCAAATGCCTCAGACAGAAGTTACAAACACTGAGAACACTTCCAATWATATATAAGTTGTTATTACAAAGACAGTCTACACTTTTTTGGATCATCCACCTAACCAACAAATATTTACTGAGTCTAGTATGACAAGTGCTAGCACAATTATCAGGTCTGCAGACTGAGTAGTAAACAAAAGAGAAGTGTTGGCCTTCATGGGATCTACAGCAGATGTAGAAAACAATAAATATAACTTTATATGGTGATAAATGCTGAGTGAAAAGAAGAGTAGGGAAACAGGAATTATACTGGGCATGGTGGTGCATGTCTATAATCCCAGCAACCTGAGAGGCTGAGGCAGGAGAATTGCAAGTTCAAAGCCAGCCTCAGCAACTTAATGAGGCCTAGCTAACTTAGCCAGGCCCTATCTCAAAATAAAAAATAAAAAGGGCTAGGGATGTGGCTCAGTGGTTAAACACTCCTGGGTTCAATCCCTGGTACAAAATAATAATAATAATAATAATAATAATAATAATAATAATAATAGAAATTTAAAAAGGAAATGTTACTTAAGATAACTTTTCAAATCTTTTCAAATCTCCTTATTGGAGATAATGCTAAGAATCACCATCATTATTTACTAAATACAGGTATTACATACTTCAATTATCTCACTTAACTCCTTTCAATAGTTCTGTGAAACAGACATTTTATCCCCACTTTACATGTTAGGAGGTTCAGTCACTTGCCTAAGCACACATATCTGGTAAGGAGATTCAAATCTAAACAAAGAGTAGGGGTTTTCTGTCCCTTCTAGCCTGCTCCCCACTAAAAACATCTCCCTTATACTGAGCCCTAAGCCATTCTCCTTCCCTCATGGTTTATCTCAATTAGCATCTCCTCTAACTTAATAATAATAATAATAATAATAATAATAATATTATCTATATTCACATTGAGGTGCCACTTATGGCATGTAGTAACACTATGAATAACTGCTGACAAGTGAATTGATTACTGTGTGGATGTATTCACATATAGACAGTTAAAATTTTCATAGGTAGTAGGCATGGAAGAATGTGCTTAGGCAAGTCGGTTCAATTGTTCTTAGCAATGTGAGCAAAAAATGTATGTTATCCATAAGGAGACATGTCATTATTTATCTGATTCTCATAACAGTTACCTAGAATATCTGGGCAGTGACTGGCAAGAAAAAAACTAAGATGGCAAAACTGTTTCATTGCAGCAAGTGCTAAAGCAGTGGTGGCGGCCTCTTCGGACTGAACAAAGCCCATGTGCTCACCTGCAGCACCCGGCTCATCCACTGGAAGCTGTCTTCTTCAGAGGCATCAGGTCTTTGTTCCGCAACCACCACAATGCGCTCGTCATAAAATACAGACACAGAAAACACAGCAATTCTAAGAGAGACAGATCAAACACATCAGACTCCCTTTACAACCAGTCCTACTTGCTTTGCTTAACTGGAATTACAGAGTGGAAACATCCCCCCACACCACCCAGAAAAAAGCAGTTCAGAAAAGACAATGTGCAATCATTACCACCACAATGAGGACGGATTCATTCAAAAACAAGTATTAAGCACCACTTTCATGAATGGTAAAGACATAGTGGTAAATAAAGACACAGATCCTGTCTTCATGGAGTGTATGTGTTAGAGACAGAACAAACCAACAAATATATAATAATGCCATGTTGCGATGTGCACTAGAAAGCACGCTGGGGCAGGGCCCGGGTGGAGTGGTATGCAGGTGGTTGGGAAGCGCCTCCCTGGGGAGTGGACACTGGAGCAGAGACCTGAATGAGGTGAGGACGCGAGCCACACGAAGATCTGGAGGAAGAGGATTCCAGGCAGAAGGAACGGAAAGCGAAAAAGTTCTGAGGTAGGGACGAACTTGGCAGGTTTGAGGAACAGCAAGAAGGCCAGTGTGCCTGGAGCAAAGTGGTGAAGCAGAGAGCAGGAGGAAAGTCAGACACAGGCAAGGGCAGATCATGGAGGCCTGGGAGGCTGAAGGAGGGAGGATGGATTTGGTTTTGAGTGAGGTCTCCGCTCAAATGTCCCCTTACTAGTGAGGCATTCCCAGACCACCTCATAAACTAGCAAGGCCTCCATCCAATTGTTTTTTCTCCACAACACTTACCACCCACTCACATGTTATCTAGTTCCCTGTTTACTTGGTCACTATTTCCCACAGTGAGAATGTGAGGGCAAAGACCAAGGCAGGGACTTAGTCTATTTTGTTCACCACCACAGCTGAAACATCTAAAACAGTGGCACATGGTTGGCATCCAATGAATATTTGTTGAATGAATGCATGAAAGAATGGGAAGCCACCGGAGAGTTGAATGTGGTGGTTCACCTGCCTCTCTTTCTTCCATCCTTACCTATTTATTTAACATCTACTAAGTGTTAGGCACTGTACTGAGTGCTGGGAATGTAACTATGACCAAAGATAAAAGGTCTACCCTATGGAATTCATATCTCATAGGAAGTTATATACCATTACCAAAAAAACACATTTCAGGAACCAGTTTTTCCTTTTGGTTTCATTAACCTGTCTTATTTCTTAAAAAAAAAAACTAAAGGGACACCAAGATTGCTATGCAAATATATGCTTATGATTATAAATTGCTAAATAAGACATTAACTACTCAAATGCAGCAAATATGTGGACTTGCATTAATAAGCAAAGATACTTAACTCTGCCCAAAGGATTCGAAATTATCAGCAGTTATGTGCTATGTCAATCTCCACATTAAATAGTATAATAATTTAATTAGAAAYAAGAAAAATAATTGCTAGATATAAACTATGGAGCAACATCTATCTCCATTAGTTTGAATGGCATTACTGTATTGAAGAAATATAGGAAGTTTGAAGTTTTAAAATTCTTTCTTACAGGATTGAACAGACAGTAATAATTAAAGTCTGAAATATATAGCATACAGTTATATCTTATTCCTTTAAATTATAGCCATAAAAACAGATGTTGTGAGATATATATTCAAAGGCAAGCTTCTGCTATGTTTAACAGAAAAGTCCCCATCACTTAAAAAGAGAATCTACAGAAAACCACTCACAGCATTGCTTTACAAGCATTAATATTTAAAACCTATACTACTTACCTTCCTCTATAAACAGTCTTTATGGACTCAACAGCCAATCCAGTAGCAACAATGTCATCAGCATTATGTCTTCGACCACTAACCATCAGTAATCCGTCCATTTTTCCAACCACAAACACCAAGCTACCCTGAAAAGTTAACAATAATTTACTTTGGTTCTCATATTTTGAACAGTAAAACATATTTTACTTCCTGCTTGGAAATAAATCTCATCAAAAAATATGAGACACTCTTGCCTAAAAATGTAGTGCAGCCCTGGGTTCAATCTGATCCTACACACACACTCACTTAGTCAATCAATCTGCATATCTATATACACAGATAATAGATATGGAGATAGACATAGATATACGCAGATCTATATATACACATATATATTTATATCTATAGGATATATAGCTATATAAAGATATAGATACATAGGAAAGAAAACAATGTCATATTTTATGGATTTTTTTTTCTTTCACAAACAACACTGGGGATTAAATCCAGGAGCACTCTTCCACTGAGCTACATCCCCAACTCTTTTCATTATAGGATAAGGTCTCACTAAGTTGCCCAAGATGACCTCGAACTTGATATCTTCCTGCATCAGTATCCCAAATATCTGGAATTTCAGGTGTATACCACTGGGCCCAGCTCATATTTCATGGATTTTAAATAAAGTTTTTCACCCTTTGACATCTCTGAAATCAGTGGGGGAAATCAGTGGCATCTTATAGCCAACAGGGTCTGGCAGTATATAAGAAGGGAACTTGTTCTAGGATTCCACATAGGTACAGTTTATTTTCCCAGCCACAGTATGTAGTAGTTCATCTTCTTTATCTATTCAAGGATTGAATGCAGAGAAGAAAAAAAATGCATTTACTACTAGAATTTGGAGGAGATTAAAACTGTTTTAATATGAGAATGATTGTTTCATATTTATAAGGGTAATGATATCTCCATTTGAGATGATTAGAAACAGGCTAATAAAAGTCTCTGTAATAAAATAAAATAAAATAAAAGTCACTGTAGGAGATTTTCTCTTCCAGTAAGATAACCAAACCACAGGAAACTACCTTCAAAGCACCCAAAACATCACTGTGCAAATGCTCTGCCCAGACCCATCTGTAGTAAATTAACTTTAACTTTCCTCATTCATTACAGAATTCCTAAGTGTTTTGGTCTACATACACATGTTCAATGATCTAATAACTATCTCCCCACATGAAATCACTTGTTGACTTACTAAAGCACAGTGTACTGCCTTACACTGACTGGACTAAGCAGTAAGACAGAACCTTTATGCTCAAGAAGCTAGTGAACCATCCTAGGTACCAGAGAAGAACCAGCCATTTCTAATACAGTCTGAAAGTTTTGGTATTGGTGAATAAATAGTGAAAAAGTGCCAGACCCCCAATCTCTGTCTCTCCATTTTCACATTAAGACAATTTTTAGCTGGGCACAGTTGACAAAAATGAAGATAGCATTTCAGCCCCTCTTGTAGGTAGATGGAGCCATGGGACTGGTGTAGATCAATAACATATAACTGGAAGAACTGCACAGCAGTTTTAAGGAATCTTCCTTAGGAGGATAAGGCTACATTGTTTTCTTTGTTTCTTGGAATGCAGATGTGATAGATGAAATTCCATCCTAGACCTCTTAATGGAGCAATAAGCTAAAAGGAGCTGAGTCTTTGAGAATTTCTTGGTGTTGAGTAAAGAAATCCAAGACAGCAGGTATATAGTACTATTTCTAGGAAAATGTTTCTCCTAGACCTATGCCTTCTCCTCCACCCCCCAAAAATGGTAGTGAAGAAATAAAATAAAGTTAGATCTTCTCTTCTATAACTTACAGCATTAAGAGAAGAAAGAAAAGTATAGGAGATATTTAGAGATAAATGGAGGATATAGCTTCGCTAGGATAATGACTATCTATTACTTACAAAATAAAATCTTAATTTCCCATTTCATCATGCAATGCCCCTTGTGACCTGGCTCTCTGCCATACTGTGGGTACATGAAGCTCACCATGAGCCCTTTGAGGACAAGCTTTTCCTGTCCTAATTGTCTCTGTAAACCTGGTGCCTTATAAATACCATTTACTAAGTAACAAATAGTTTCACTCAAAGAATTTACTATCATACTCAATGTAGTACTGATAATTTGTATGAAAATGTTTTCTAATGCTATACATTATGGTTTACCTTTACTACTCACTGGGTGTGTGTATTTTGCTGGAAACTGAATCCAGGGTCTCAGGAATGCCAGTAAATGCTCTATCACTAAGCCACAAGGCCCACCCCTACACCTTGGTACTGAAGCATACTTTTTCCAGCACTCCTTTAACTCATTGCAACAAGTTAATCAAATCAAAGAAAGAAAGCAAGAGTAAGTGCAGTGAATTTTCATGATAATGTTTTAGTCTGACAGAGTCAACTAACTTTGGTAATAGAAACAATAGTCATTAGTCAATTTTATGACTTTTTTTTTTTGTACCTAAGATAGAACCTAGGCATATTTAACCACCAAGCTACATCCCTACCCCTTTTTATTTTGAGACAGGATCTTGCTAAGTTGCTGAGGTTGGCTTTGAATTTCTGACCCTCCTGCCTCAGTCTCCTGAATCACTGGGTGCCTGACTTCAAACTTTATGATATTCTTAAAAGAGCTGTTCTAAATAGAAGCTAAGTGGCAATAAAAAAAATAACACCCTTGGTATAATCGGAATTTGTTCTGTACTGTGAGTTAATGACCAAATATTTCAATCAGATGTATCCAAATCAACATGAAAGCATTACTTACTGGCCCTACAAATCCTAGCAATCCTGACCGGATGAATGGTACATCTCCAACAGGAGAGCCTGCAGAATTCACTGGAATCACCTAAAAGGAAAAAGGAAAAAAATGAAAATGTGGATGTGTAATTGAAGTGATTCTGCAATCTGTATTTGGGGTAAAAATGGGAGTTCATAACCCACTTGAATCAAATGTATGAAATATGATATGTCAAGAGTTTTGTAATGTTTTGAATAACCATTAAAAAAAAGAAAAGCTGCTTTTTCTTAGAAAATGTATTTGAGTTTTAAAAAGTCTCTTTAAAAAATTCAGAACAGTTAACACATACTTCTTGAAAAACAAACATTATATAATGAATCCAGTAATTCCATCTTCCGCTTTTTCACAATGTTAGGGATCAAACTGAAGACCCCGTGTATGCAAGGCAAGTAAGTGCTCTATCTGAGCTACATCTTCAGCCCAATCCCATTTCCTTAAGTGATAAACACAATTTGTTGTTTATCTCTCCAAACTTTTAAAAGGTATATTAACATTTTTTCAAAAGGGCTCATATTATATATAACTTTATTTTGGTGGGGAGTACTAGGAATTGAACCCAGGGGTACTTTATCTCTGAGCCACATCCCCAACCCTTTTTATTTTGAGACAGGATCTTGTTAAGTTGCTTAGGGCCTAAGCTGCTGAAGCTGGTTTTGAACTTCTGATCCTCCTGCCTCAGCCTCCTGAGTCGCTGGGATTATAGGCATGGTGCCTCCAGGCCTGGCTTACATCATTTTTTCTTCATATGCTTTTTCATACAATATATCTTGGATATCTTCCAAATTGGCAATAACCGATCTAGCCTACTTTGTAAAATAGCTCCATAGAATACTATTTCAAAGGGGATAGGACAATATAGTCCTTGGAATCTTTGCCACTTACCAGAAAGGTAGAGTGTGGGCAAGTTCCTTGTCTTTTCTGAAACTCAAGAGTTTCAGTCAGAAAACAGAACTCTCAATGCCTCTATATATAGGCTTAGAGTAAATATTAAGGAATGTGAACAAATTTTTCAGAGATAAGCACAGTGCCTAACTTAGAGTCAGTTTTCAGGAAATCCTAACTATCAGAATGCAATGTAGTTTTTTATGGGTAGGTAGGTCATCTTAATTTTTTAATATAATAAACAATGCTTTAACGAATACTACTGTATATGTTTTTATGCATTTGTACAAGTTCTCAATTCTCATAGACTGTCCTACGAAATTTGTATCAGTCAGTATCACCAATGCCATATTGGAATGTTTATTTTCCCCATAGCCTACTTAATACTATGTGTTATCCATTTTCCCAAAATTTGCCATTCTGGCACAAAGGGATATACATTTTATTGTTGTACTGTGGATTGAACCCAAGGCCTTAAGCATGTCGGCAAATAATCTCACTGAGTTACATCCCCAGCTTTTTTTATTTTATTTTGAGACAAGTTCTCACTATATAGTTGCTGGGATTACAGGCGTAAGCCACCATGGCTGCTTCCCATTCTTGTTTAATTGCATTTCTTTATTAGTAATATGGTTAAATTTCTTTTCCTTTGTTTGCTAGCAATTCTAATTTATTTTGTAAGTAGTATTTTCACATAAATTTTCTTTTTTCTAACTGATTTTTCCTCCTAGTACTGGGAATTGAACCCAGGGGAGCCATATCCTGAGCTCCTTTTTATTACTTTTTTAAATTTTGAGACAGAGTCTTGATAAATTGCTCAGGCTAGACTTTAACTTGTGATCCTTCTGCCTCATTCTCCAAGTTACTGGGAACACAGGTATGTGCCACCATACCTGGCTCCTCTTTAATTTTTAAGACCTTTTTGTGTATAGGGAACAATTACATGAGTTAATATTTGTTGAGTACTTACCATATTTCACACACAAGTTTACCTGCTTTATTACAGTATGTTAAACGCACAAAATAGGATTATTATTTCCACTTTACAGATGAGAAAATGAGGTACAGAGTTTCATTTGCCACAAATCAAACAGCAAGCACATGGCAGTGATGGAAAATTCATTATTTGTTCTAACATATTATGGATTTTTTCTCCCCAGAATTTTATCTTGAAAATACATTTTTACTTTCTGACTAATCATTACTAGATCTTCTGGTCTAGTGAAATATCAGTAACTTTGAAAAACTCTTAGGATTTAAATCTAAGATTTTAGCTAAAAAAAAAAAAAATGGAAATTTTAATTTATAAAGCCAAGGAAATAGCTTCTCCTTTTTTGATTAGGACTTTATTCTACTTTGCTATTATTACATTTATACTGGAGGTTTTAAAATTTCTTCGTTACTTTGGTCCTAACACTTTCATGTTAAGTCTTGAGAATTCTGGTTAGGCAACTGCCATGTAGGAAAGGTAATAAAATAATAAAGGCGGGCTGGGGATGTGGCTCAAGCAGTAGCGTGCTCGCCTGGCATGCGTGCAGCCCGGGTTCGATCCTCAGCACCACATACCAACAAAGATGTTGTGTCCGCCAAGAACTAAAAAATAAATATTAAAAAAAAATTCTCTCTCTCTCTCCTCTCTCATTCTCTCTTTAAAAAAAAATAATAATAAAGGCAATAAAATAAATAAAGTATTATTAGTACTTTAAATCACTGATGAAGGATCTTGTTTTTAGCAAAGAAAATTCAATGAAGAAAATTTTAGGCAATGGGAACATGTAGTCYAAGCACTTAAAAACAGGAGAAATAGGGGTGAGGGATGTAGCTTAGTGGTGTTTAACATGTATGAAGCTTTAGGTTCAATTCATAGCACCACCAAAATTTTWAAAAATGAAATAAAAAGAAATAGAGATTTAAAATAAACATAAACTCCAGAGAGGTAATAAGTCACCCATGAAAGTAAACAAAGAAACTGGCAGAAAACGTATACTTGAAGAGTTCACTAATACTCACTCCTGTCAATGTGAACCAACTGGGCACAACCTTTGTAGGCAGGTCAAAAACATAGTACTGATAATGATAGTAACGGACATTTAATGAATGACAATATACCATTTTAGGCTGTGTAGACGCCAAGATGACAGTCAGCCCCCCGGCACCACAGCACAGATAACAGAAATATATTTCGTATAGGTGATACTCTCTCACTACTGTTATCTGYTGGTACATAAGTACATGTACTGATTCTTAAATGTGTCATAAGCACACATACTGATTCTCACAAGTGTCCTGCCATCTTGAGAATCACTAGTCTATATTATAGGAAAATATCCAAAGGATTAAAAATGGGCAATACTCATGTAAGCCCTATCTAGTGTGAAGGGAAAACAGCCCATCAACTCAACATCTCTGGTCCCTAAAGCTCCTCTAAGGCAGGTTAATCCTAATTATGAAATACAGCAAATTACCACTGTTGTGATTTCTAGGCTGACCAGGTGAACATCTCATTATGACTTGGCTTCATAGGCCAAACAGCCTGCATGAAAGCAATGTGCTATTCAGCTAGAAAGTGCTAGCTTAACTAGAATGTAAGCTCTACTAAGAGCTTTGTTTTGTTTCCTAACGTACCCCAAGCATTAGAATAGTGCCAGATACATAAAAGTTGCTCAATAAATATCAGTCTAACTCTAAGATTGAAAAACCTGAGCAATTTTGATCTCCACAACAGGACAGTTCTTCAATTTTAATCAGTGATCTGACATAGCTTATGCTACTGTCACTTTACTTTTAAACATTAAACTTTTGAGCTTATAAAGCTCAAACTATAGCAAATTCACCAGAATGAATTTTTGTGAGGCTTCTTTTCCTTTATTTATCTAACAGATACACAACAGCACCTCCTATGTGCCAGAAGCTGATCTAAGTACTTTATAAACATTAACTTACTTAGTTATCAAAATAGCCCTATGAAGGAGGGACTATTATCACTTACATTTTAAGATAAAGAAACTGGGACACAAAAGAAGCTAAAATGACTCATGCAAAGTCAGTCAGAAAGTGGTAGAGCCAGGATTTGACCACAGGCATCTAGGACCAGAATACACAATACTCCCAGAATACACAATACTCTCAACTACTATGTTCTCCTATGTCCCATTAGCTAGAAGATCTGCCCAAGTAACATGTGACCTCATCAAACATTTTCCCGATGAGATATTAACAACATGTACCTCAAATGTATTTTTGGTCACACCAGCAAGGCCAAAGTACATCATGCCTCCAGTTCTGGAGCTAACACAGATTTCTCCAATTTCATCTGTTTTGCACAGCTGGGGAGGTCCATCTGGCTTCACAATGCACATCATCCCTAATGCACAAAAAAATACAAGAGACAGAGACTCTGGAAAACCTTTGCAAAATAACGACTTTTATCCTATAGGCCCAGGAGAGTTTCACATTTACTAAGAGGCATAAAGAATATCAAACAGGGGACTGAGGGATGTAGCTCAGTGATAGAACACTTTCCTAATGTGCATGAGGCCCTGAGTTCAATTCCTTGCACCATTTAACAAAAGGAATACCAAAAGAAATGGTAAAAAATAACCCTGAAACTATCTGAAATTTAAGAAGGGTGACGTATTTAAAAATGACYACAAAGTTCAAAGAAATAGGTTAAATGAATTAAGTGTTATCCCTAGAGAGGCCAAACTGAAATACTCATGGAAACAGTATGCACTAACTTTCTGACAGTTCCAAAGGCTTGGTAATTACAGTGAAAACCAGGCAACTCTGGCATCACTTAGAACTTAGCTTTTCATGTGAAGAAGTGTAATGGAAGCCTTCATAGTTGATAAGTAATATAATACTGTGGAACAGTCACCATATTTCTATCTAATTGACTGTTCAAGAGGCTTGAGAAATGAATTGTGTTAAGTGCTGAATTTAGGATTCCTGGTTTTGAATCTCTTATGTTATCAGGCCCTACTATCTCTGATGACATATCTTTATGAAAATCTAAGTGGTGATCCCCACAACTTACCGCCAGGCATTACATGCCCCACATCCTGGACTGTCAGTGCTGAATTTTTATCTTCAGTATTGACCCGTATTACCCCATAGCTCAACCCATTCATTGAGAGAATGGCTCTTCCTGGCAAAGGAGCTCCTGGAACTCCGGGCCTGGGRAAAAAAAAAATCAAATTTGGCAAATTAAATTATATCAAGAGAAAACTATGAATGTGTAGGAACACAAATTTCCTTCGGCCAGAAAAGAAATTCCATTTTTCTTTACCAAAAATATGCCAAATTTATATGTACAAAACATAGTCAACCTTCAGTCAGGTGAAAAAAGCAAAGTTTTAATTAGCTATTAAGCATATACTGATCTTGGGTATATTATAAATTTGTTTTTCTAGACTTATGCCATAATCAAGAATAGCTTATTTCTAGTCTAAAATGCTAACTAAAAATTCAGAAGAACAAAACACCACAAAAACAATTAATTCACATATATGAGACGAGTATAATAAAATTGTCAGTTTAGTGGTTATACTTTGGGCAACAGTGGGAAAAATAAATGAGATGCTTCCAACTATTTTACGAGTTACTATTTGCTTACAGGTTTATGAAGCTGAAAATTAGATAATATTCCTTTTTATCACCTGGTAAAAACTGCACATTTCACCCAAGTTGTAACACATATTAACAGGATCTGACATTGTGAATAGTACCTGCGGATTGCTACAGTCATGGCTTCGGCAGATGTAGCACATGGACAGATGGCCTCAGGTTTCAGTCCATGGCTTTGGAACAGACTCAGAAAGGCATCACAGGATGACACAGACCCTAATGAGGTGGAAAATATCAAATGAAAGCTGAAAACATTAATTGTCATTACTGCATGAAACTAGTAAAGAGGGGGAAGCTGACATATTTGTTTCTCAAGAGAACTCACAAAGTATACCATTCACTCACATACATTTTTCTGCACCTGTGGGGTAGTCTGAACATGTCAATCAAAGGTTACTGACATTATTTAAAGTTAGAACTTGGAATTAGACTATGCCTACCAAAGTAATCAATACCAGAGATAGCACCGTAGGCAACATGCAGCCAGTTCCTAATTTAGAAACCCTTCCTGAATTAATTAGGATTGCCAATCTTGGCTTAGTTCTACCTTCTATGAGATATCCCCTGACTTTTTTCTTATTAAAGTTAATCCCATGTCTATATTTTAAATCAGGAGGATCAATGTAATTACTGATAAAAATCCACTTATGACAAAGAGCCAAATGCTTTACCTAATTCTACAGTATAGAGAAATAGGATTTTTGTGCTAACAAGGAAAAACAGGGGATAATAGTAAGATCTCTACAAGTTTTTGCAAACTCCTTTGGTGTGCTGCTTATGAGAATTTATATAAAGTTCACATACTAGGTCATAACAAATAAACTTGGAAAAAAAATAAACTTGGTAAATCTTATATCTAAGGAATACCCACAGTCACATGATAGAAAGAGAACACAAATGAACAAGGAGTGGTTTAAGTTTATAGATCCACTGCCAGCAGTGGTGGCATATGTGTGTAACCCCAGCAACTTGGGAAGCTGAGGCTAGAGGATTGTAAGTTCAAAGCCAGCGTTGACAACTTAGTGAGGCCCTAAGCAACTTAATGAGACCTTGTCTCAAAAAAATAAAAAAAGGAGCTAAGCATGGTGTTCACATCTGTAATCCCAGCAACTCAGAAACTCAGGAGGCTGAGGCAAGAGGATTGTAAGTTTGAGGCCAGCCACAAAAACTTAAAAACTTAGCAAGACTCTGTCTCAAAATAAAAAATAAAAAAGGGCTAGAGATGTGGCTGAGTGGTTAAGTGACGCTGGGTTCAACCCTAGGTATCAAAAAAAGTTTTAAATCTAGGTCACAGTAATGGTTGTGTAACTCCATGAAGATAACAAAAACATTGTATTGTACATTTTAAGTGAATGAGTTTTATGGTACATTAATTATATCTTAATATAGATGATAAAAAAAAAAACTCTAAAAAAGGAACAAAAAAAACCTATCCCACCAAAGGAAAGGATATTCCTATGCCCACACAACAGAAATACTCACAGGGATTAGCTCCATCAGTTACAATTAACATTCGGAGAGAACTCAGGCTTACATCCCTTTGGTCCCGATGTGCCATCATAGCCCAGTGCAAGTCTCGACATTTTACTAAAGCTACTTTGGCTATAAATTCAAAGGGTTTAAATAAAGTTAGCATACACATCTGCTAAATTTGGTATATATTTAATATAAACACTATAATATAAACACTTTTATGTATTGGGGGGATCAAAGTCTTACTTGAAGAAAATGACAAAGGTTTCAAACAGATTGTGCCAGCTACTCAGAAGAAGAAAGCACCACATTTAGACAACTGACAGATATGTAATTGTTGCTCACTGTGACCTCTGAACAGGTCACAGCATCCTAGCCAAGGAAATTTTAGACACCACAGCATGCAATATGTCTAATCTAGACTCAAACTTGTACAAATTCATCTAAATTCTTAAGAAAGAATATCACTGAAATGAAATAGATTCTATAGTAACTGAGCTCTAACATTTGTTAAGTCACCAACACACAGAAATCTGTCTTTATAGGGGTAATGTAAAAACCCTTGAARTTCCAGAAATTTTAATTCAACCAGCCATATAATTAAAGCTAAAATGCTGTCTGCATCTACCTTTGTGGGCATGGACTCTCTGGACCCAAGACAGAGGACAGGTCTTCATAACAGAGTAGGGTACACTAATTGTATGCATCTTATTCATTACATTCTGAAAAGCAAAGAAAGATAAAAGGCAATCAATACCAAATACATTAATTCAGTTAACAATCTTAATTACAGAAGTATTACTCAAACACAAGCTCTTTGAAAAACAAACTTTGAGATATTCAGGACAGGGTTGAACTTCCTTTGATACCTCCTCTTTAACCTGGTTCCCTCCTCTCTTCCCCAAAGATGATCACAATTATGAATTTGGTACATATGTATCCTTCCAGTCCTTTTCCAATGTGCGTGTGTGTGTGTGTGTGTGTGTGTGTGTGTATGTATGTGTGTATTAAAATACTTTATAATATAAAGTATTTTAAATAACAGGCATCATCGAATACCTCTATTTATAACTTGCTTTTTTCATCCTGTTTCAGAGGTAAATCTATGCAAATCAGTACAACAGTGCTACACAATTCTTTGTGAACTGTTGTGTAGTTCTTTTTTGTTTTGTTGTTTTGATGCTACTGGGGATTGAACCCAGGATGCTTAACCACTGAGCCATATCCCCAAACCTTTWTATTTTTATTTTGAGACATGGTCTGGCTAAGTTGCTGAGTGCCTCACAAAGTTGCTGAAGCTGGCTTTGAACTCTTGATCCTCCTGCCTCAGCCTCCCGAGTTGCGGGGATTATAGGCATGCACCACTACTTTTTCAGGCCATGGTAGATGTTTTTTAAATGTTAGAGATATAGCCAAAGTTCTCTCCAACCCATCAAATGCTTTTTTCATGCTCATACTTGTAACATACCACAAAGAGGTGGGTGTTTTTTGTTTTGTTGTTTTTTGATACCAGAGATTGATCTCAGGAGCATTCAACCACTGAGCCACATCCCCAGTCCTATTTTGTATTTTGTTTTGAGACAGGGTCTCACTGAGTTGCTTTGATGGGGCTGGCTCTGAACTCATGATTCTTCTGTCTCAACCTCCTGAACCACTGGGATTACAGGTGTGCGCCACTTGCGACCAGCAAAGTGGGTATTACAAAGCTAAAACATCATTTCCCCTGTTTCTCACAGCTGGTGAGACCTGTTCAGTGTTTGGTTAGACAAAACTGAGGGAGTCAAGGGTCATGAAGTTTGGTGTCTCTTCTGCCACCCAAACCAAACATACTCAGATCCCATGTGCCTAGAGACCCAGCTGGACAGAGTAACCAAATCCTAGTATTTAGATAGTATTTAGACTGGCCACTCTGCTCACCACCTAAGTGACCCAAAGAACCAATACAGCATTTAAGATACCATTTCCTTCCTCAAGTTTCTAACTCTGGTGACAAAATTTGGTTTTAGAGAAAAGAGTGTTTATGGCTAATTCTTCACATTATGTACCTATCTTATACTTTGTATCACAGGAAGGAGATTCCTTTTAACTTCTCACAAAGTATTTTAACTTATGATTTAAAAAAAAAAGAAATGGAAAAGAAAAAGAACAAGGCAGTAGGAACACTCATGGAATAAAGCTCTTCCTAATTTAGGAGATATAGGGTGACCTGTTCCTCAGACTTCATTTTCAACTCTCTAACTCTTATATATCTAAAGAAATTGGATGATGCTCCTTGAGTTCTTTTTCAAATCTAGGATCCCGTATGTTTTCTCTCTCATACATGTCATATTATGTAATGTAGCTTTCCCACAAGTATAACTTACACTAAATCCCTTAATTTTAAGTAGCTTACCGCAAACATGCCATGCCACAGCCCAGCATCCTTCTTGAAGTCTAAAACATTAACTACTGTTTCTCCTAAAACAGGAAGAAAAAAAAAGAGAGAGAGAACACAAAGAAACAATCTTTAATGTTAAGCAGCAAAATCATGTCACTTGCCTCTACTAAACAACTGATTTAGTGCTATTAGAGAACTGATTAAGAACTCTCAGGGTCTTCTGACTGTGTGAGGCCCCCTCAAACTGGCTGGAGGACTGATAACAAGGTGATATTACAGGGTCACAGCAGACACTAGAAACTCCTGATCACTTAGGCACTTCTTCCAGGAGATTTTTTTCCTAATTTTATAAAGAACACATACTTAATTTTGGAAACTTTGGAATTTCCACAAATTTATGTAAAAACTTATGCTCTCTAGAGAAATAAAAACTGTGTCTGAGAGTGTATGTATGTATATGTGTGTATGCATGCATATATACTCTATGTCTATACACACATAAACTTGTAGATAGAGTTACATATACATATCCAACATAACAAAATCAGTGTCCACAGCTCTATATCGACTTTTATTTTTTTCCACTTAAAAATAGCTTTAACATTCAGGAACATGCGTTTTACTGCCATAGGATATAATCCATTATATGAATGCATTATAATTTTATCAATCCCTATTTTGGGGCATTTTGATTACTACAATTATATACATTTTTTAATCAGATGAGAACACTGCTATAAAATGAACTTACATTAATATGCTGCATTTTGCAAAAGGAAAATAAAACACAAAAGATTGATAAAGAACATTCTAAAGCAAAGAGTAGTAATACAATATGTGTCAACATATCAAGTTTGACACTACAGAAACTTACTTGCATTTTAGTCTGTACTGTTTGGTTAGCCGAATTTGACTCCAAATGTATAGGGGCCAGTTCTCTACACTCAGGAAAATGGAGAAACCAGAGACCCCACAGCTAATAAACACTTGGTTTTAATTAGAGTTTTCTATTTCTGTACTCTAGAAATTATGCTTTACATATTTGGTTTGCCCAGAATTTTAGTTCCTTCAAGTTACAGCATATTTGCAAACAAGAATGTGTATTAGAACATTTCCCTTTGAATTTGGTCATTAAAATGAATCCAATCACTGAGCACTCTGCTCACAATCACATGTTTTTGAGGCTAACAATGAGGGCAGTCATAGGATGAGGTCTGACCTTCAGAATAATTGCAGGCCTGTGACAGAGCTTGGCAGTGAGACAACATTGCAAGCCGGGACACTGTAACTCCCATTACACTTCCTTCTTTGCTTGTTTTATACTAGAAAAATAAAATACAAACAAAATAAAAGAAACACAATAAAAGGGGTTATTTTAAATTACAAAACCAGAATCCAAAACCAAAACCCAGGTAAGCATTCATAATGGGCTCAATTTAACTTACTGAATATAATTAATTAAGGCTATTCACTTTGGATCCCAAACTCTACTCATAGAGTTTGGGGGATGACAAAGCTCAACAAATTTATGTATGAAAAAGACTTAAAAGTTTAATTACTCATAAGTGTGAAGTGGCTGCTAAAAAAGCCAAAAAGAAGTAATTTGAGCTGCATTAATAGAAGCACAATACCAGACACAGTTGTCCTCTGATATCCATGTGGGATTAGTTCCAAGACACTACTCACATACCAGAAACTGAAGATACTCAGTTTCTTATATATAAAATGACATAATATTTGCATATAATCTGGTTCTTCTGCCTGTAGACTTTATCTCTTCTCTAGATTACTTATAATATCTAATACAATGTAACTGTTAAATAAATAGATGTTATATTGTTTTGTATAGGGAATGATGACAAGAAAAAAGTCTGAGCCAGGAGAATCCCAAGTTTGAGATCAGCCTCAGCAACTTGGTGACACCCTGTCTCAAAATAAAAAGATTAAAAGGGCTGGGGAAGTGCTCAGTTGCCTTGAGTTGCTAAGGATGGCCTTGAACTTAAAATCCTCCTGCCTCAGCCTCCTGAGTTAGCTATCAGCTTTATTGATGTTAAATCAAAAGGACATTTTGCAGCCAAGCATGGTGGCAACATGCCTGTCATCACAGTCACTTGAGAAGCTGAGGCAAGAGGAATGCAAGACCACTCTTGGCAACTGAGCAAGATCCTGTCTCAAAAATAAGAAATAAAAAGGGCTGGGAGGACGGGTACAATGGGTGCACACCTGTAATCCCAGCGTTCAGGAGACTGAGGAAGGAGGATTGCAAGTTCAAAACCAGCCTCAGCAACAGCTATGCGCTAAACAACTCAGTGAGACCCTGTCTCTCTAAATAAAATACAAAAAAGCACTGGAGATGTGGCTCAATGGTTGAGTGCCACCAAATTCAACTCCCAGTACCAAATAAAGAGGTGAGTCTGGGAGACTGGGGATGCTGCTCAGTGGCAGAGTACCTCTGGGTTTAATTTCCAGTCCTGTTAAAAAAAAAAAAAAAAAAAAAAGAAGAAGAAAGAAAGAGAGAGGGGGGAGAGAGGAAAGAGAGAGAGAGAGAGAGGGAAGGAAGGAAGGAAGGAAGGAAGGAAGGAAGGAAGGAAGGAAGGAAGGAAGGAAGGAAGGAAGGAAGGAGGAAAAGGAAGGAAGAAAGTGAAAAAAGAAAAGAGGAACAGTGGGGACGGCTCTTTTGTCTTTTTTTGTACTTTAACCAGAACTTCCTGTACATTTGACTATTCTTTTTTGACACTGTCTCCTTCCTTGACTTTGGTCATCTTTCCTCTCTTCTAGTTTCCTGTTTCTTCCTTGGAGTCTCTGACAAGCCCTTAAATGTTAGTGCTCTCTTAGAGCTCAACTCTCCTTCCTCTTCTTTTCACCCTATTCTTCAGGGTACTATATTCCTGATGATTCCTCATTCTCTAATCTTCACCCAGGCCTCTCTTCAGAGATCCAGATAACAATGTGTCAAGTGTTCCCCTGAAGGGGCCCTAGTCCTGTGAAACTCAATATCAAATACTGATTGTCCCACTTCCACCCATGAAAACTTCTAATGACTTCTATCTTATGAAGAATGCCACCATCAATCCAAGTACCCAAGTCAGAAACCAGAGTCTTTCTTGCACTCTCCCTCTCCAGCATCAGTCTTGCCTGCCCTACTTCCTGTCTCAACTCCACCTACTTCCCTTTGTTTTTACTAACACAACCTTGGGCTTACCTAGACAACCGAAAAAGCTGGTCTGTTTTTCATAACCCAACCAATCTAGATGTATCTTATAACAAACTCATTTTTTACTCTCCTGCTGATAACCCTTCAGTAGATCCCTTTTATCCATACTACTTTAAACCCAGTAGCAGAGTCCTGTAGGTAATATGAGGGTCTCAAGTAAGAATTTCAATTAATTCATGAGAACAGGAGCCTAAAAATATGGGGCATAGTAGTTCTACATGAGGTCAGAGAGCTAAGTAAGGGTCCTCAACTTTTTCTGAGAAACCAAAGAAGAAGACTGAAAAGGTATGGTCAGTGAGGTTGAAGAACTGAGAGAATAGTCTAGGAAGCCTATGACTAAAGTTTTAAGGAAAATGGAATGGTAAGCCATGTCAACACTAAGATATGATATAGATTAAGAGTTGAACACTAATTTGTTTTTATTTTTGGTATAGGGGATTGAAAGAAAAAATTACTGATTAACTTATTTGTAGGTCATACAATATTTGGTCAGTTACTCAAGTTTTATAAGTCTCAGTCTTCTCATCTAAAAAGCATATTTTATAATAAATGTTCAGACTCAATGAAATAATGCATTTGAAGCATTTAGCCTGATACCTGGTATACAGCAAGACTTGATCCCACAACTAGATCGTTTTGCCAAGTTCCTACAATCAAGGTCCTACACTAACCTTCAATACCAAACCCTCTGTTTCTTCTTGCTCTTTATTTTCCATCTTTTGAACTTGTTCTTTCCATGCACAGTATTTTCCCTTCTCATTTCTCCATAACCTTGTTCCTGACTCACCTATTAGATCACCAAATAAATTTCTCTGCTAATAAATCATTTCTTGGGGCTGGGGTGTGGCTTAGTGGTGGAGCGCTTGCCTGGCATGTGTGAGGCACTAGGTTCAATTCTCAGCACCACATGTAAATAAATAAATAAAATAAAGGTCTGTCCACAACTAAATATATATTTTAAAAATAAATCATTTCTTAAACCTTTGTACCTCTCTAAAGTTTTTTTTAATAACTTTCTTAATGGACAATCAATTTCTTTGCTATCTTTTTTCTTATATGAGTATTTATGATAAAAACATTTAGAATAAAAAGCATTTACAWGCCCAAAGATGATAATCTCACAAAGTAAGAGAATCTTTATTTTTATTTCCCCCTTTGGTGCCCTTTGGTGCCATGGATTTAACACAGGGGCATAACCACTGAGCCCCAGTCCCAGCCCTCTGTATTTTTTATTTTGAGATAGGATCTCACTAAGTTGCTTAGGGCCTTGCTAAGTTGCTGAGGCTGGCTTTGAATTTCTGTCCTCAGGCATGCACCACTGCTCCCAGTACAGTCCCAGAAGAGGATCTTTYACCATGAAAAATACAACTAATCACTAGCACCACAATTTAAAAAAACAAAAACAAAGAAGCAAACAAAAAACAAAATCCCTGCAACTCAGGCCAAAGGAAAGCTAGAAAGCATGTTTATAGTCTCGGGACTTACCTCAATGTATGCAGGTTCTGTACCAGCAGGAGAGATGTGGGGCTGCCAGTCTTTAGGTGGCTTTGAAAGGTACTTGGAGTCTGTTACAACCCACTTGAGCCGGGGCCAACCTAAATCAAACCCATAGTATAAATGGAATTGCCTAAGTTATCAGGGAAGGAGTTTACACTTAATTGGTCACTTTAAATATCAAGAGACCAAATTAAAGACATTTTTATAATCAATAAAATACACAGTACAATAATTCCACATGCTAATTCCAGGACTTGGCATTACCTCAACAATAGGGAGGTCCATCTGGCAGTGGAAGTCCACTGATGTTAGCTGCTTATCCTCTGACTCTACATTTAGCTTTAATGTRGAGAGTGGTAACTTTTTTTCAACCAGAAGCATAAAGGTAAGAGTGTGGAATCAGACAGATTAGGGTTCAAATTGCTATTCTACTATTTATTAGCTGTAACTTTGAATAACCTATTTCTCAGTTTCTTTACCTGAAAATGGAGATAATAATGGTACCTACTTTGTAAGATTGTAAGAATTAAATAAGAAAATATATATAAAGTACTCAGTTGTTACTAAGTTAAAATGCTAATTAAAGCATTCAGCTTTAACTTTTAACTAATAATCTGGGTATAAGTATTACTTGCCTTTAAACTGTACAATTTCTCCATTCTGTGTTTTTGGCAGTCCCTTTAGGCAAACTTCACTGGTTAGAGCTAAGGCAATACCACAGCTTCCTAGCAAGAAGCCAATCTGCTGACCTCCGGCATCCTGTAGAGGAAAGATAATAAGCACAGTAGGACAGTGAATGTGAGCACACCTATGACCCAAATCTAGCACTTCATAATGCTCTGGCACTTGTATGATAGCACTGAAGCCCCACCGATTTCTGGCAAATGTCAAAACCCAGTGACAATATGTTCTTCCAATAATTTCTACAGCACAATGATTTCCTAAGTATAAACCAAATATTTTATTAACCTGACATTGCTAATTATGAATTCTACTAGCTATATGTGACCATTCTATTTAAGGGTCATCAATGATATTCTTTTAGGCAAATGAAATAAATACTAACACAGTTGTCATCCCATAGCCCTAACTCACATTTAAGAGCAAGGTAATTCATGCATGTTAGAAAAAAAAATAATAATAAGGTAAATGTATACCAGTGTCCAAATTTACAATGAAAGTCATGATGTAATTATTCCAAATAAATATATTCCTTTTATTATTCTATTTTAAAGGGGGTAGGCTTAAGCCTTACAACAATAGTAGCAAAACTACTAACAAAAAATAGAAGTTTAAAGAATTTTCATTAACATGTCATATAAGAGTATCATTATAAATACTGTCAATTTAATAACTGAAGAACTCTATAATTTTGTGACATACCACCAACTAGAACTTCATGAATGTTACCAGTTTGTTTTTATTTTTTTTCAAAGAATATTTTTTCTTATAAATCCACATTATCCAATATTTTTATCTCTGACAACCCTCAGTAATAAATAGCATGAGAAAATCAGGGTAAAWGCTCATGAAGAAATCATTAAGTAAAATATGGAAATTTGTTAGGTAGTCCTCCATTTAATAGGACTGATGTGTTGTCAAAGTAAAATGCTATAATCCAGAGTAGGCCCACACCACCACTGTATCACTCTCCCTTTTGGTGCACACTTGTAATCCCAGTGAGTCGGGAGCTGAGGCAGGAGGACCACAAGTTCAAAGCCAGACTCAGCAACTTAGTGAGACCCCCAAGCAACTTTAGTAAGACCCTGTCTCAAAATAAAAATATAAAAAGGGCTGGAGATATAGTTCAGTGGTTCAGTGCCCCTGGGTTCAATCCCTGATACAAAATAAAGAACAAAAACAGTAAGTCTCCCTGAGTTTTATATGACACACAATTACTATAAAAATTCTTTAAAATTTTATTTTAGCTAGGTGTGGTAGTGCATGCCTCTAATCCCAATGACTTGAAAGACCAAGGCAATAGGATTGCAAGTTTGAGGTCTGTCTGGTTAACTTAGCAAGATCCTATCTCAAAATAAAAATAAAAAAGGGCTGGGGATATATCTCAGTAGAAGAATGACCCTGGGTTAAACCTTCAGTACCATCAAAAGGGGGGAAAAACTATCTTAGTTGTTCTTTGTAGGATACTTGAAAATATTACATAAATTTTCTACAACTTTCATGTTTTTAGAAAGAGAATCTAGGGGCTGGGGATGTGGCTCTAGCGGTAGCGTGCTCGCCTGGCATGCGTGCGGCCCGGGTTCAATCCTCAGCACCACATACAAACAAAGATGTTGTGTCTGCTGAGAACTAATAAATAAATAAATAAATAAAATCTTAAAAAAAAAAAAAAAAAG